CAATGTAGGACATTTACTCTGTGGTATAGTAGTAATTTTACTTGCATAAAGGATTCAAATACTACTTCTGTCACAGAGCTGAAGCTAGACAATCTCTATATCATCCACCGCCAACTGAAAAACAATATAAGGCACAAAAAAAAAAAAAAGGAAATTATGAGGATGTGAACGCAGCGACGCAAACGCACATCTGCAGCGCTCTCCCAGGCATACATATTGGTTTGTGTGCATTCACAAATACAGACATAAAAGCGAGTTCTTAATTAGAGTCTGGGTTGTTCCCTCTGGGGATTTGTGGGTTTTGCCTCCCGCCTCCCAGTGGGAATTTGACCCAACTCGATCACCCAGTTGACTTTTCTTTCATTGAACTGCTTTCATGCTGGATGCCCACACTTACAATATGCTACACAAATATAAACATGCAGTTGTGAACACTAATGAGAGCTTTCTGCTGAATTCATACATAAATAGTGACAGTGACAAAGTGGGCGTGCACATAGCAGAACAACACACAGTGACACTTGTATACAGAAAGCAGACAGCTGCTTCCTCATTCAGTCTCTCGGTGGACAAGTCATAAAACAAAACCATAAAACAATGTTTTATATTTAGTGGATATAGTAAAGTAATTAAACTACACTATATACAGTCTTGTTATTCCAACAACCTGTACTTGTGTAGTTAGGAGATGATGTAATACCTGTAATATATAATAAATGTAAATGTAATAAATGTAATAACTTAAAGGGCTACCTGCCTGAGTGTTAAAGTGATATGTCCATTAACCACAAAAAAGTGAAAGGATTTGCTTTTGTCACGTACCCTTACCACCAGTGGAGATCAGTGATGGTCTGTTACACACCCTCGCCTTCACGTCCTGTCTTGTTTTTGTAATGAGTACTATAGCTTATGCTTCCAAAACAAATTGTTGTGCACATTACCACAATGAGGCTCTCTGAGAAAACATAGTGTACAAGAGGCTGTAACAACTAGCTACAATATCTTTTTTTCTGTCCAGCTAAACAATGGTTATCTACATTTAGAGCAGGTGGAGTCTGGCGCAGTATGACTAGACTGATCGTTTCAGACATTGCTCATCAGGGCCTGTCTAGCCAGCGGGTCGCGGCGGTATGACTTTAATGCAGTGAAATAAGGGATGAGAGCTTGCATATTAGCTTGTCCCTCCAGGAAATATCAATGCACATTGAATACTTGAAGCATTAAAATGTAATGGAGCTTGGTCATTAGATAACAAATAAAAATGCTTAAATGTTGAACATTTAAGCTGCTTAACAAAGGCAAACAGACAGTACTTTATTGCTGGTCATGAAAAACTACTTAAAAA